TTGGCCCCCGAAGGCCTATTTTCAAGCTTAAGTGTAAAAAAGTACATTTTTGGACATAGTTTTCAAATCGGGAGTCCCGTGCTAGTTCCGTAAGTTCTACAACTCACATTGGTCCATCCCGAGGTGTTTGAAGTGTTTCCCGGGCCATCTCGTGGCTGTTGCACGATTTTGGCCCCCGAAGGCCTATTTTCAAGCTTAAGTGTAAAAAAATGCATTTTTGGACTTAGTTTTCAAACCGGGAGTCCCGTGCTAGTTCCGTTAGTTTCCACAACTCACATTGGTCCCTCCCGAGGTGTTTGAGGTGTTCCCCGGGCCGTCTTGTGACTGTTGCACGATTTTGGCCCTTGAAGGCCTATTTTTAAGCTTAAGTGTGGAAAAATGCATTTTTGGACTTAGTTTTCAAACCGGGAGTCCCGTGCTAGTTCCGTAAGTTTCCACAACTCACATTAGTCCATCTCGAGATGTTTGAGGTGTTTCCTGGGCCGTCTCGTAGCTGTTGCACGATTTTGGCCCCCGAAGGCCTATTTTCAAGCTTAAATGTAAAAACGTGCATTTTTGGACTTAGTTTTCGAACAGGGAGTCTCATGCTAGTTCCGTAAGTTTCCACAACTCACATTGGTCCATCCCGAGGTGTTTGAGTTGTTCCCCAGGCCGTCTCGTGGCTGTTGCACGATTTTGGCCCCCGAAGGCCTATTTTCAAGCTTAAGTGTGGAAAAATACATTTTGAACTTAGTTTTCAAAGGTTTTATCGAGAACGTGAGGAAACAACAAGAAAGCAAAAAATATTTTTTGGTTTCAACCCTGCGACATAGAAGGAATAGGAAAAGGCCTTCTAGTGATCTTTAACCAATTATGTGCTTTAATATAATTACCAAGAGTAAGCGCTATAGCCTGTTTCCAATACTCAGCGGCTTGATCGAACCAAGCCTCAGGGCGTATCGATGGAAAAGAAATTGCACGTGTCGAATGGATCAGAGAAGGTAGGGTTCCCCTACAAACCATTCGAGCTAAAATTGATTATTGTTTCCGAGAGTCCCGTGCTAGTTTGGTAAGTTCCACAACTCACATTGGTCCGTCCCGAGGTGTTTGAGGTGTTTCCTGGGCCGTCTCGTGGCTGTTGCACGATTTTGGCCCTCGAAGGCCTATTTTCAAGCTTAAGTGTAAAAAAGTGCATTTTTGAACATAATTTTCAAATCGGGAGTCCCGTACTAGTTCCGTTAGTTTCCACAACTCAGATTGGTCCCTCCCGAAGTGTTTGAGGTGTTTCCCAGGCCGTCTCGTGGTTGTTACATGATTTTGGCTCCCGATGGCCTATTTTCAAGCCTAAGTGTTGGAAAAGTACATTTTTCTAAATAATTTTTTGACTTAGTTTTCAAATCGGGAGTCCCGTGCTAGTTCCGTAACTTTCCATAACTCACATTGGTCCGTCCCGAGGTGTTTGAGGTGTTTCCCGGGCCAGCTCGTGGTTGTTACATGATTTTGGCTCCCGATGGCTTATTTTCAAGCCTAAGTGTTGGAAAAGTACATTTTTCTAAATAGTTTTCAAACAAAAAGTCCCATGCTAGTTCCGTAAGTTTACACAACTTACATCGGTCCCTCCTGAGGTGTTCCCGGGCTTTCTCATAGCTGTTTCACGATTTTAGAGCCCGATGGCATATTTTCAAGTTTAAGTGTTAGAAAGAACAAAACACTACTTACCTCTGGTGTTCAAATTTGATTTTCAAATTTCATGTTTGGTTTGATTTTCAAATTATACTGAAACTTGAAAACACAATATAAAAATAGAGGAGGGTAAATTCAACATATATACCTTATATATGAACTTTTAAATCAATGAATTGTAAACCTACTTATTGTAATAATATTTGGAGGATTCAACCTGAAGCATCATACCAAAAAAAAAAAACAGCAAATAACTTTAGCTAAATATAGAAAAAAGTCTACAATAAGAATCACACAAGTCCAAATAACATATGGTCTAGTCCCTCAAATACATACAAGAAAACACAATAGAATGGAACTCCGGCCTGACCGACCAACCCCAGATTCTTGTTTTTTAAAAGCAAAAGTAGTTGTTTTTATGTGAAAAGAGAGTTTAGAGTTTTGTAGACAACATACCATAGACGCAAAACCAATTAGAAATTGACAGATAAACTTCTGGGTTATATCAATTAATGACTAATTCGTCTAAAGTTTGAACGGCAATTTTATTATTTATATGCTCAACACGTTTCATAAAGAAGATATTATTATTGAGTAGATAGCGAAATTTATATGTAAAATCTATTACCTGCTCACATATCATATTAACAACAAATCTAAGCATTTAAACCATTAGTGAGTATTACTAATATCTCCAACACTACAAACCTGTTTGGTTCTTTTTTATTTTTGGTAGTGGTGGTGGTGGCCCTTAAGTTTTGTTTTATTATATATGCTTCAATCACCTTCAAAACTATTGCCATTATATTATATTATTATCTCTTTGTAGTTTTCCCAAAAGTTCACTTTAATTAGTGCCATACCCATGCATGCATGCACTAGTGCACAAGATTTTATAAGTTTGATTATTATATATTTGATGAAAAATATTTGGCAGTTCTAATTGAGTACCTCCAATCCATTTCTAATGATATGGAATGGACCATGTGAAGGGGGATTACACTCCTCTCTCTATTCTCTCTATCTTCCACCTCATTAAAGGACAAAATGTGAATGATGTATTACACTATTTATTATAGTTTCCCAAAAGTTCTTTAATTAGTGTCATGCTCATGCACTAGAAGAAGATTATAAGTTGATTACGTTCAGTTCACTGATTATAAACTAATTTACTAGTTCTCATAGACTTTCTAACTCTTATGAGAGATGTCGTGTATTCCAACATTTAGGGTAGACCAATAGTTTAAAATTTCATTCCTCACTCCACCTTTGAAGTTACTTTCAGAGTTTTGGCTCGATAATTACTTGGTATATGTGAAATGGGAAATTACATATATCCGAAGATTAGTCGGGGTGAAGCTTTAAGCACTATTGGGATGAAACAAAAATGCATTTATCACATTTCTTATAGTTTACCAAAGGACAAATTATATTGGTAGTTCCTGCATTTTATTTCTTGTGTCATTTTGGGCCTTAAAATTTTAATTAGCTCAATTTTGATTCTTAATTTTTTTTTTTTTAATTTTGTGTCAATTTTAGTCCAATTGATAACGCTGGTAAGAATTTTTGATGAAAAATAATCAAAAAGTTGGTTAAGATTAAATCACTAATATTTACTATCAATGCCACATCCAGTACAACTAGAAAATATTTACTAGTGTGAAAGCAAGTATGGAAACTGATAATAGATAACAGTACAATCAAGGTTCTATTTATAATGTGCAAACATTTTATGATGAAATAGTGAAGTTTAAAAGTGTCCTAACCTAAGCCGAAGTTCAGAAACCAGCAATTAAATAAGAGTCACAATACTAAGAACTAATTTGGACATCATGTGTCTTGGTTATAGTTTGGATTTGTCTTCTTCTGAGGATCTCTCTCTAAAACCAGTTAAGTATCTTAGAGAGGATGTGACAAATACCATGGAAAACTCTCAACTATAGCCATCAAGTCATAAGATCTTAGTCATCCAAGTCCGTGGTTATGATCATTTACATGTACCCACAAAAACACAGAAACAAAGAAGCAAGGCAGATAAAGAAGGTAAGAGTTTCATGCTAGCTTATACAATGGCTTAATTGTCTAAAAACTGTATTAGAATGGTTCTTCAATTACCATAAGTAATTCTAAAAGGTAAAATGTTGAAAATTGCATACTTACATGAATAATCAGCACAGGACAATTAACATATGGGATTTTGTCAATGTTCTGCACACAGTCAACACAAACACCATTTAATTAGACCCAAAAAAAAAATGCATAATCTTTCAATCAAAATAATAGTATAGATAAACAGATGATCTACGCTTCACAGGATACATGACACTTATACACAGCTTCAATATCTGCATATGTATTATGCTCACTTGGCTGCAAAACAAGGAAGCTATGTGCCATAGATGACACTTTCTATCACTACAAGGCACACTATATAACTTAACAATTCACTTTCATCTAGAAAAGCTTTCTTCTTCCTTTGTTTTTTTGGATAGGTAATGAGGCTTGAATAACATAGAAAATGTTCCCATGAGGTTTATCTCCTAGATTCTCTGGAAAGAGCCAATATAGTAGACTTACATGGTAAACATTGCAATCACCTATTTTTGTTTGAGTTTGAGTTAAAGTTCTTCCTTCTTTTTTTCCCTCCCTGTTGGAGAGAGTTCAACGAACTTCAAGAAAAAATAAATTGCAGAACTATATGAATCAAGGAAACCTTACTTGTTTAATGGGATGTGCTCAAATGGACCTGTAGTAGGAATTGTTCCACACAAGTTGTTTGAGACATCTCTGCAAAATCATTCAGATGTCTTGACACTAAGTCACAATGAATCTAGTACTAATAATTCAAACACTAAGGTTTTTCACTTACACAACTTTCAAGCTGGAAATACCAGTGAGCTCCTTTGGGATTTTCCCAGTTAACTGATTATCATTAAGACACCTGCCAAGCAAAAATGAGGAATTAGGATGTGGGTTCACGGGTGCATATGGCAGTTGTATCCAAGCATGACGGCCTCAAACTGTTTGTGTACTAGAGCAAGAGAGTCTTTAATTTTCAATGACCATATATCAAACAAAAGGGAAACACAAGTGATTAACAAACAGTTTGAGGCTTGAAACACAAGTCTTTCCGTCAAATCCATCGAAGCACCCATAATCATAACCCCAATTTCCTGTAAATTAAATTGTAATTAACAACCAAAATCACCCACAGCCTCAGATATCAGTAGAGATAACCTCTAAAGTAAATAAATTTGCAAAAAAATTAATGACATTCCAACTAAACCCTAATGCCAGAAGGGATCAAATCAAAACTAACACATAAAATAAAGCAAAATTCCATTTTCTTTTTACATCGAATTGATCAAAACACTCATAAAATTTCCATTTTGAGTAAATTAAAAAGTAATGAACAAGCAAAATCACCCACAGCCTTTAAGCATTGAGAGAGAGAGAGAGAGAGAGAGAGAGAAAGAGAGAGAGAGAGAGACTAACAACGGTGTTCTTCGATCTGCACAGCAGCGGCGGTGAGGAAAGGAGGGGCTAACGGCGGCGGTGGTGAGGGCTGTCGGCGGTGAGGGCTATCGGAAATGGTAGAGCGGCGGTGTGTTGATCCAATGTGAGCAGCGGCTGTGAGGGCCCTGGGTAGTATAACGTCTGTGTGTGTGTGTGCGCGCGCGTGCGCGCGCGCGTGAGAAATAGGTTTGAACCGAGAAATGATTGTGTGTGATTGAGAAGAGGAACCGATTGTAACACAACATTTTTATTTCCCCCTAAAATATTTAGTGACCAAATTATATTTTGGTGACAAAATTATTTCTTCACCAAAAATAAAATTATTGGCCACAAAAATAGTTTTGTCACTAAATGATATTAAAATATCACCAAATTATTGGTGACAAAAATATATTTGTCATTAATAATTTTATAATTTGTGACAAATTTTTTCGTCACCAAAAGTCTATTAATTTTGGCGCCCTCCGAAAATATTAGCGGGAAAATATTTGATGACAAAAAAAATATAAATAATGACGAAATATAATTTCGTCACCTATTTTTTTTTATTATGATTTAGATTGGTGACGAAATTTTATTTTTGTCTCTAAGAATGATACATTTGGAGACGAAATATGATTTTCGTCATTAAAAGATACATATTTTGTGACAAAAAAATATTTCGTCATTACTTTTCGTCTCTAAAGACTATTTTTGTTGTAGTGATTCCTGAACGGTTAGCCTGAGGCTATATACCATAAGGTTGACTGGTTACGGGCTCTGCCACGATGGGAACACAAACCCCGGTTATTACCGGGGCACCCTTTTTGACGATTTGACCTAGTGCATATCGGAATCTATAGTGACTATTCCAAACTAGGACAAGTTGCTTACCCCGTTGTAGATTGTTTGAAACCGCTGTGTACGTAGTGAAACCCTAGCTCCTGACAAAATAGGACAGGAAAACCCTACCCCAACATAGGGGTGTTTTGGCTCTCATTTAGTTATTATGTGCTTTTAGAGTGTGCCTCTACAGGGAATGCACGTATCAGTTTGCAAGTCTCGTATCAGGCTTGAGGGCATGAGTGTTTGGGAATTAGTTTTATCCGAGGATATCAGATTTAGGGCAACCATTTGGGCACAGTAAACAGCATTTGAGAACAGTGTGTTTACAAATACCGACTGTGTTGTTTGGCCAACTGTGTGTTGTCTCTAATTTATCTAGTTCATAACATAGCACACTGCACGTTCAGGTTGTTTGTTTATTTATTATGCTTTATTTATCTTTTTGCAAGGTAGTTTAACACAATTGCATCCGACCAGGTAGATATTCCCCGAGCACTCTGGGTCAAAGGTCGAAGACTTAATCGATCTAGGGATCTGATAGACGGACAAACAGTGTTTCTTTCTTTACCCCCGGTTGCTAGGCAGAGGTCAAGAAGGCGCAGTGTATCAGTACAGAGGTTGTCAGATTAGTGGTCCTTGAACAGTCAGGCTGAGGTCTCAGTTTCTACTGCAGAGTCAGATATACCGTTTGTTCAGTTAGATCAAGACAATATAGTAGGTTTGGAAGAGATGATGCGTCAGCTCTAGAAAAGTATGAAAGCCATGCAGCAGCACGTCGCCCGCCAGGCAGAAGTGGCTGCACGTTAAGCAGAAGTAGTAACCCATCAGGTAGAGATAATTGCCAGACTACAGCAGCAAACCAGAGCATCTGCTTCACACACACCTCCTCCCCCACCCAGAGTTCCAATACTCAGGGAGACGCCAAATGTCCAGGAAAATACGGACATCCCAACAGGGCTAGCTCCGCCCCTAATCCTACCTCAGCTATCTAAAGCGCCCACCAACCTAGTGGATTCACCGTTCGAGTTCGCGGTGGATCCAACGACGTTAAAAGTAAGCAAGCTAGAAAAGCTTTTCAAGAGTTCTCAAGGTGTGAAATCCATTCCAGATATAGAGGATGGATATACCGACTCGGTCGCGACGCTGCCAGACCGGTTTAAGATGTCACACATCGACCGCTTTAATGGGTCTGGAGATCCTATGGTGCACCTGCGGCTGTTTTCAGATATCCTAAGGCCGATGGGTCTTTCTAGATTACAGAAGCTTTCTCTGTTTGGCCGGACCCTGTCGGGTATGGCGGCCATTTGGTATGCAAAACTAGAGGATTTCGTTAAGAAAAGTTGGGAGGAGATGGTTGAGGCCTTCATAGCTCAATACTCTTATAACACTAAGATCGAGATCACAACTCGTGATCTCGAGACCACCAGGCAGGAACCGAATGAGAGCTTCTCCAATTTTGTGACCCACTGGAGGGCTAAAGCCTCGATGATGACCATCAGGCCCGTTGATAAAGATCAGATTCGGATGGTTGTGTGCAACCTCTAGCCCAAGCTCATGCACAAGATGATTGCTCTCCCCCTCCCCACCTTTGCAGACCTACACGAGATTCGGGTGCAGATCGAGGACGCAATGAAACAAGGTCTGATTGACTATGAAAAAGAGCATCCCAGAAGGGCATTCAACCGCAGTAGAATGCAGGCACAAATAGTGTAGTAGCTGCCAGATCTTCAGATGTGGGAATGGTCACCACCACTTCTTCCAAAACCCTTGCAGCTGCACCTTTTACTGGTATGTCCGGAAGTAGTTCGCAAACAACCAAATATGCGCCCAAAGGCCAAAGAACCTTCAGCCCACTATACATGCCCTTGTCCAAGGCTTTGGGGGTTTTGATCAAGAAAGGGCACTTGAAGCCCCTAGAGCCGCGACCCTTACCAGAAAAACTTTCCCCTATCCATAACCCGGTGAAGCATTGCGCCTATCACCAATAGCATGGTCACGAAACCGACCAGTGCTTTCGATTATGTCATGAGATTTAGGATCTCATTGACAATAGGGTAATTATGCCCTCGGAGAAACTGAACGTCACAACCAATCCACTCCCACCACGTAACCAAGCTCTACCTCCCAAACACCTCAACCTCATCCAAACCTCAGTCATCCCATATGACCCGAGCATATATATTACCCCTTCCCACCTACCCAAGCCGGAGGTATTCATTCCTGACAGCACTGACTTGTACATGTTGGACATCTCCCAAACCCAACCAGAATCGGTGGTGGTGACTACCAAAGATAGAGCAGGGATCACTTTGGGAATAGAGAAGAATGAGGATTCAGAGCCTGAGGGATCTATGAGTATTGAGTACAACCCGAGTGGTTATATCAAGCCAAGGGTAGAATTGCCAGTGGGGGCAGAGATCTGTGTAGCTCGAGAGGATGAACCTAATCAGGGGCTAGATGACCTAGCGGAACTAGAAGAGGACATTGCAAATCTGCAATTCTTTGAAGAACAGGATTCAGGGTGACATGGCTGTCAACTGGTTCGATCTGGAAGGGCCAGCGGAAGATACCGGATGGCTCAGCGACGAGCTAGATGTTTTTGGGGTACATCAGTCAGAGCAAGGTCCGTCAGACATGGGGACATCGGTAATGGCCGGAGATCAGAATAAATCGCTGGGGAGCACCGGTGTTAAGAATTTTGCTCAGGATCAGAATAGTTTGAGTACAGAGGATGCTGAGCAGCAGGCTGCACTGAAACAGTTTGAGCAAGAGAAGATCGAAGATTTGAAGAGGGCAAGAAAGGCCAAAGCCCCTGTGGAGACATAATGTGTTGTGGGCACGGGAATGGAATGTGCTATGCGCACAGGAACAGTTGTGACAAAACCGGATAGTTGCTTGTCGATGGCCGATGGCATGTGGTGGAAAGATGACGACCTATGTCTTGCCCACACAGACGAAGATTGGGGGAACAACCAACCGGATGATACCTGGTATATTGGAGAGGTGGACAACATGACCAGAGTGGGCGCTATTTCAAGCCCCCACACCTAGATCAACTAGAGGCGTCCAAAAAAGACACAGAGGCGGAGAAGCAAAAAGAAAAGTTATTCGAAGAGGAGGCTGTGTTGAAATAGCTTAAGAAGATACAAGTAGATATCTCCATCTGGGGACTGCTTATGGCTTCAAGAGTACACAGACAGGCTGTCCTTTCTGCAATGGACAGAGCCAAGCTTTCGATCGATACCACGCCTGAGTAGCTGGTAGGATTGGTTTTTCCGGGAGGAGCTTCCCCGACGTTGACCTTTATTGATAAGGAGTTGCCGCCTGAGGGCTCAAACCATAACAAACCGCTCTACATCTCTGTGGAGTGTAGAGACAAATGGATACCAGTAGTTCTTGTCGATACAGGGTCCGCTATCAACGTATATTCGTCGAGGACGTCATATGCAATCAGGTTGAAGCCCGTGGACTTTGTACCCACTGCCTAGGTGATTCGGACTAGGGTCGGTCCAGAACAACACGATATTGACTTTCATGTCTTGGACGTTCCCGCGACCTTCAATCTACTCCTAGGGCGACCGTGGCTGCACCAGGTAAAGTCAGTCTCTTCCACCCTGCATTAGATGTTGAAGTACCCCCATGGGAAGGGGGTGGCTATAGTTTTTGGGAATTCGTCAATCCATTCGCTGCCAGAGGTGTCTATGTCGGTTCTGGAGATCGAACATGGCGTAGAGGATGTGTTCTTGCTAGGATTTAGCCTAGCTGAGGCTCGGGTTATACAGAATTTACTAGCTATCGACGAGGGATTATATATCAGTGCACAGTCTGTGTACCTCATAAACAAACTCCAACACATCCCTGGGATGGAATTAGGGAAAAGTGGCCAGAAAGGCGTTGCAGCATCGGCCGAAGTGCCGCACAACCCGCATACCTTTGGTTTAGGTTATCTGCCTACTAAAGAGGACTGGGTAAGGAAAGGCAAGGAAATGGCTGGAAGGGCCAAAGCAAAGCGAGCCGGGAAGCCTTATGAGTTGGTGCATCGGCCTATCCAGGGTACCCTAAACGGACGCTTTGTCCGAGAAGGGGAGGACTTCCCATTTTGCGGCTTCCCAGAGCCATGGTTGAATGTAGAGATGAGGCGTTTGCTGGGGTTTGAGATATTCTTTGACTTGCACTTGTTTGGGCATGATGTTGCTAAGGAGCAGATAGACCCACTAGCTGAGGTTGAGCAGTGTAGGGAGGAGGATTCCGAGAGTGCAGAGATTAAAATGGAGGTAGCACTGTCTTGTCTACTTTTAGATCCTCCGACCGTACA